GTGCTTACAGAAGAAGCTGATGAAGTTCAGGCAAATTCACCAAAGTTCGGCGATTCAATTAGATTAAGATTCACTCAATTTCGACTGCTTTGGCCGTTTTAACCTCATTGTCAAGATTTTTCTGCTATGGCTTCTTCTGTAAGCACACTCTCAGTGCTTGCAGAAGAAGCTGATGAAGTTCAGACAAATTCACCAAAGTTCGGCAATTCAATTAGATTAAGATTCACTCAATTTCGACTTCTTTGGCCGTTTTAACCTCATTGTCAAGATTTTTCTGCTATGGCTTCTTCTGTAAGCACACTCGCAGTGCTTATAGAAGAAGCTGATGAAGTTCAGGCAAATTTACCAAAGTTCGGCGATTCAATTAGATTAAGATTCACTCAATTTCGACTGCTTTGGCCGTTTTAACCTCATCGTCAACCTTTTTCTGCTATAGCTTCTTCTGTAAACACACTCGCAGTGCTTACAGAAGAAGCTGATGAAGTTCAGGCAAATTCACCAAAGTTCGGCAATTCAATTAGATTAAGATTCACTCAACTTCGACTTCTTTGGCAGTTTTAACCTCTTTGTCAAGATTTTTCTGCTATAGCTTCTTCTGTAAGCACATTCTCAGTGCTTACAGAAGAAGCTGATGAAGTTCAGACAAATTCACCAGAGTTCGGCGATTCAATTAGATTAAGATTCACTCAATTTCGACTGCTTTGGCCGTTTTAACCTCATTGTCAACCTTTTTCTGCTATAGCTTCTTCTGTAAGCACACTCGCAGTGCTTACAGAAGAAGCTGATGAAGTTCAGGCAAATTCACCAAAGTTCGGCAATTCAATCAGATTAAGATTCACTCAACTTCGACTTCTTTGGCCGTTTTAACCTCATCGTCAACCTTTTTCTGCTATAGCTTCTTCTGTAACCACACTCTCAGTGCTTACAGGAGAAGCTGATGAAGTTCACGCAAATTCACCAAAGTTCGGCAATTCAATTAGATTAAGATTCACTCAATTTCGACTGCTTTGGCCGTTTTAACCTCATCGTCGAGATTTTTCTGCTATAGCTTCTTCTGTAAGCACACTCTCAGTGCTTACAGAAGAAGCTGATGAAGTTCAGGCAAATTCACCAAAGTTCGGCAATTCAATTAGATTAAGATTCACTCAATTTCGACTGCTTTGGCCGTTTTAACCTCATCGTCAAGATTTTTCTGCTATAGTTGCTTTTCAACCATTCAAAATCTACATTATTCGCAGTTGCTTGAGTCTCTGAGCTTCCATCGGAGCCAAATCAATCTTCAAGGGGGAGATTTTTGTAGAAGAAATAAAGCTACCCTAGAAACTAGACGTTGAATGAATCGTAATCTACATACAAGCTTCAGCTTCTCATCAGCTTCTGCCGGGATGAAGAGCGCCAATCAATCTTCAAGAGAAAACCATTGGGGAAGAACTTTTTTGGTACGAAATAAATAGATCATGGAAACTAGAAGTTGAATGAATCTCAACCTACCGTAAAAGCGATCAAGTTGCCATAAACTCCATCAACCTCTCCGAGTATTAAGAGGTCCACTCAGTCATCAACACAAAACATTGGGGAAATTCTTTTTCGGTAAGAAATAAAGTTATGATGGAAACTGGAAGTTGAATGGACCTCAGACTAATTAAAAGCGAGTAAAGTTGCACCAAATGCAATCAATTTCTTCGAGTATTAAGAAGACCAATGAATCGGCATGAGAAAAACATTGAGACTTTTTTGGTAAGAAATAAACAGATCAAAGAAACCAGAAATTGAATGAACGTGAACCTACATAAATGCAAGTAGAGTTGCCTTAACATCAGCTTCGATAGCGTCAATCAACCATCAGGAGAAAAGCGTTAGGGAAATGGTTTTTGGGTAAAAAATGAATGGATCAAAGAGACTATAAGTTGAAAGAATCTCAACCTACGGAAAATCAAGTCAAGTTGCCATAAGTTCAATCAGTTTCGAGCATGAGGCCAAGCAAGGGAAATTTCCTGCACAGATCCAGCTCACACTGGAAAGCCACCAAGACCCAAAAGACGATAAATCTGCTAAACAAATCGATCGTTTCAACTAGACAGAACATAGATAATGCACTGAAAGTTGAACATTGAGTAGGTCGACTGTCAATGTAGAATTACTTGCCGCTTAAGCTGATGCCGATAAAATGGAGATCTGTTTAGAGTGGGCCGATGTACTTATGTAATTGCGTCCAATCTACGCGTGTTTATTAGGTAGAACGCTGATTATCGATTCCTGGTTTATAGAATAGCCGCCAATAACTGTTGCCATCTAGCCATCCACATTCAAGGAGGTTTCAAACTGAGATGTTTAACGGAATAGGAGGATTAGCAAACGTCAATCATTCACATCTACACTGATTTCGGAAATTAATCTTGCTCCTAATAAGTCCGGCTTGAAGGACGAGTGCTACAGAATGTTTTCATAACACTTCACGGGAAATTATTCACGTTGGTATCAGGCATTGAGGCGGCTTTATTAAGGCTTCAATCGACTGCCAGTCGGGAATTAATCAATATTTGGCTTGATTCTGTGCCATCAAGGTATCTAGTGAGACTTTTGAAAGAGCTTTGCGTCTGAGGAGCTAATTGCTAAAAGCAAAAATGGCAAAACGGTGTTCTTGTAAGCAACTTGATCGTATAAGTGGATAGTGTTAGGTAGTCCATCAGTTTAATTCACTCGGGCCGTATCACTTCTCACGATTGTTCGGTCAGATCAGGCACATTGTGAGAACCGCTCGTTATGTGTGCCTTAAGAATTTTAAACCGAAATCTTTGCTCGCAGAACTGTTAGTTAGTTATTCATGCCCATCATATATAAAATATTTATGAAACGGGCCCCGTCCAGTGTTTCTGCGATGTCTAATTGAATCATCGGGTAATATTGCCGATTTCGGCGATCAGTTACAGAAATGTTGCGTTTTCTATAAATAACCGGGCTACTTGAACATTTCTCTGCTATCGCTTGTTTACGCTTCAGGATCTCCGGAGTCACCTGGAAGTGTTACTCAAAAAGGCCGCCCAATGATAACCGGGTTCTTATCGATGTTTACTCTGTTATCACAGCAGTGATTGACTCTATTGTCGGCATTTTGTCACCACAACAAATAATTATCGGGGCGAAATTTGTGTGCTGAACACTGATAACGGTATTACGGGCTCGATTTATCAGCATCTATTTCAAAATGGCGGTCATGTCGGCCTTTGATCGTCCGATTTACGTTGTCAGCTTTCCCGATTAGATTTTAAACTTTGTATTTTGATACCACACCGTGTAACACGTTTTTGATGAATGAGGTCTGATCTGATACGGGCAAATATGGCAAATTCATCGCTTGCTGTTTCCTTTTGTGAAAAAGTCTTCAAATTGGGCCCAACTTTCAAAAGCCTCCTGGGCTGAAAAAGGGCCACTACTTACCCTCAAAAAAATACTACTACCTACAACCAAAATTTATACTTGAACCTCTCTTGAAATGCCTACTGTTCAACGTGGTCTAGGATTGAACTAGTTTCGTCTAATCGGCGTTCAGATTAAGTTCAATTCAGCCCAAGCTTTAAGCTGAGAACCTCTCCAATGCGCAAATATCGCGTTTTAGTCCATAATAACGCAGGTAGCGTTGGTTAAAAGGTTGCATAGTTTTTCCTCTGACTTCCCCAAACTTTGGGGCAAAGTATGTGAAATCCCCGTCAATAAACGGCCACTTGGAGGTGGCGTGTTCTTGTTAGACATGGCCATTTGGGCAATTAAAGAAGTTGTGTCTAAATTCATTTCAAATTGAGAGGACTGTTTTTCCCAAAAAAGCCCTTGTAAATTAAAAATAAATGTTATTACATCAAATATATATATGCAGGTGATCCAAAAATTACTGTATTTTCTTGTCGTTCGTCAACTGATTTTTTTCAAATGGATGCACCTGCTTTTGTCTCAATTTCCAGTTCTCCATTAATGGGAAAAAATTGCCAATGTCCAATGCGGATTTTCTGTTGCCCAAAATCGACAATTTTGTTCAAACAGACCGAAGGAAGCTTTATCGGAAGAAATAATGTTTTTTACTAATTATTTTCCAGATGGAAATTTCTCCTGGAATAGCTAGGGATGTAAAGATGATATTTGCGCTTTCGCAGAACAGATTTTTGTAAATGGGCCCCAATCTGCGAAACTTTTTTTTGAAAAAAAAGAAAAAGGTCAAGTGGTTCAATTTCGTCTTGAGCAGAACGTCCAGGTTTAGGCAAAATGTTTGCATGACCAAATTCTCTGAATTTAGCTTCTATTCTGGATTTCATTAAATAATTGAGCTGCTTCTATTTGAGTTGAGTTCTGTCACCGAACCCAACAATGCAGAGGATTTCGAATTTTTCTCGTTCAAACTCGCGCATGCAAAGGAATGTTTTGATTGTTCACTCATCAATTTTAAGGCTCTTTTGGGAAACGTTACTCTCATTTAAAAAACCTAAGACCCAAAAACTCACCGCTGAGTTTCAAAAGAACTTAGTCATCACTTCTAGGCCTAACTGTAGGAAATGTTGTTTAAGCAAAAATTAGGATTGCTTCACATACTGAAAGATCCAATATAACGCAGACTCTCTTTCTTCCAGAGTAATCCATATAGTTTAAAGGACGCCAGTGGAGCAGCTGATATGTCGGCGTGGACCAGTGCAGGATTGCAACCAACTACAGGGTATTATCCATATGATCCAGCATTAGCTGCTTACGGGTATGTACAAAGAAAGTTGCGTAGTTTTGTGAACAGGGGAAAAACAGACAATCTGATTGAAAGGAACGGAACGGAACAAACGACTGCGGGGACAAAACAGCCTAAAATAAATGCGAAAGCAATTTTATCGACTATTCACCGCAAAAGTGGGAAATAATGGTGCAATGCCATGACACCAAGGGCGCTATTCACCTGCGGCGTCGCGACGACAGACGTCCCTATACGCCAATCGATATACGAGCGCCTGTTTTCAGCCATTTTGTCTTAGGTTCGCATTCTATTTCCGAACGGTTTCCCAAAAATTCGGTCGTTGATTTCCCGCAGAATAAAAGGAAATTAGCAAATTTCTCGCCATATCAGCGGACGGATTAGCGTTGGCACACGCCTCTCAAGAAAGCCCTGTTTTCGATCGACAGGCTCCATAAATCCTAAACACCCATTCACGCCCCAGATTGACTGGAAAACACTAAACTCAATTAAACCATCAATCTACCCTTATAAAAGACTTAAACGCTGAGGGGAAAACTGTCCGCCTTGCCGGAGAAAAACCCCAAGTCAGCAGTGGGTCTTATATGGGGAACGGTGTGTGGTGAAAATAGGAAAGAACTTCGCTTTTTCTGAGGTTTTATTGGGTTTACTCAACAGGACTGGATCTGGGAAGTTTCCAAACGAAGCTGAAATTTATCTCTTTCAAAAAGAAATCTAGGAATCTAGCCGATGTTTGAACTCATTTTTTTTACAATCTCGATTTTATTTATTATTCAGTTCTTGTTCATCACAATTTTTTTGCCTTGGGGTCTCACTAGATTTTCGCTGTTCTTTATTATCGAACTCAAATGTATCTGCAATTTTTTAAATTATTTTTTCTTTTGTGTCAAAAGATCAATAGTGTCTCTTGTCGCATTTTGTCTACATTTGGGTTTTCCTTAAGCGCAAAACCCCATTTTTGCCAGGTGACTCCATAACGGAAAATTGGGGATTTTTTTATTTTTTGGTCTTCGATTTGTAGGTAAATGTTTGATTCGAAAAAGCCGTTGGTTGTTTTTCTCACAAACACATCATCAATTTGCGACTTGTTCTTTTGCGTACTTTGGCACGATCTGGGGCTGCTTCGGTTTGCCAATTGAAGTACTTAAATGTTGCAAAACGTCTGTTCAAAAAACATTGTACCTTTTCCTACTGACTAATGATTAATGCACAGAACGCAATGAAAAAGGTGCAATTTAACACGAACATTTCATGTTTCGCTCTCATCTAGGTTGACGGCTAGGATGTTTTGTGATAAATTACAGGTGCATTCCATATGGATGGTGGTGTTAACAATTTTTTATTGGCTTCAATCCACCGACATTCATTAAGTGCACTTGTTCCTTAAAACAGGCTACAAGGTAATTTGCAATGTGTGCTTTCATTCACTTATTCTGCCAGTTTTTCTTAGTCGTCTTCAATAGACTTTTCAATGTTTGTGTTTGTTCGCGTACTTAATTTTTGGCCGGTTGAATAAAAAATTTGAGGCTTTGAGGAGTTTGAACTGATTTGGTGTCGTCGATGTCGATGGAAGCAACGTTTCTTGATTTTTAATGAAAAATTAATCTTTGACGATGTCTGCTCGATTAGGGACCCATACATCTTATTTATGCTTCTCAAGTCGAAATTTATTAATTGAGCTCAAGGAACTTAAAGAACACATGTGAAAATTCCAATTTTTGCCAACAATATCACAAGTTCTCCAAGTTTTTTATTGGATCTAGCAAAAAAGCGAAGAATCCAACCAACCAGCTCAAGAATGGACACAGTAGATTCTTCTGAGGTGCCAAAACTATCCATTGAGCTCAGGAAATGCACCTTTCAGTTTTCGAGAGTTTTTGATCTTTAACTAAACATATCATCTAGTTACCTTCCGAGGAAATAAACAATTTATTGAGCCTAGAAAACGCTCATCTGAAACTTTGATTTCTGCATACGCATGAGCCAAAATAACCGAAACTTATGGTCAATTTCGAACAGTTTTTGAGCGTTTTCGATCTTAAATCGACGTTTTTGGTCGACCTGTGTAGGGCGTATTTAAAAATATTCATATTGCTATCGATTTTTCTGACTACATCGCTCAATCCAAGAGCTCAAGATTCGCAACGGTAAACCCTTCTGAGTCGAAAAAAAACGAAATTTAGAACCAAGCAGCTCAGAACATTGAAAATGCAAGTATTGGGCATTTTAAATCCGTTAAACCTCCGTCCACTGTCATAAAAATGGAAAATAAGCAAAATACTCAAGAGGGTGTCGAAATCAACTGAAAATTCAGGATCTCTTTAAATCGACGGCTTATTTATATTAGAATCGATTTGAAATCATCTTGATCCCAATCCTGTATATGCCGACGCCTTCCCAGTGTCTAACTGGGGCCCCCCGAAAAAAAAAGTAGCATGGAGAGTTTAATAGGGGTGAAACCACTCAAAGTATAATCAAAACTCCGCGTGCGGAAAACGGGGCCCCCATGCATTTCCCGGTCTGGCAGTTCTGCACAAAATAATTGACCGTCGTGATAAATCTGTTTTTTTTCTCCTACTGTTTTTGCGTTTTATCCTCTCAACGCGACGAATGTGTTGGGAAATGTGGGACAATTTGAGGGGTCGGTTTACCGAAAAGCCACTAAACTCTCGATGCACAGAGAGTTCGGGTTCGATGGTCGATGCGTGTCAATATCAACAATGATCGAGCCGGGGGCCTGGCCAATAATAAAAATCTCTTAAATATTTATCGCCGATCTCATTTTTTATTCAACAGATTCCGTCCTCGTCTTGTTAAACGAGGTGTCTGCAAGATTTGCCAACACAGTATTATGCTTTATCTGTTCAATTACGAATCCCATTGTTCTCCCAAAATGAAACCCGATAGTATCTGAGAAACGATTTTTTTCTTGGGGCCTTTTTGGTGTTGGGTTCGACACTTTAGTCGCGAATTTCGGCTTTGTATGGTCGGTTGGTGGCCACTTTTTTCGACACGTCTAATGTTTCCCAAATTCCGGTGTTATTTCAAGGGAAATTCCTGCTGTCCGCCAAATGCAACAAACCACAAATCCCCAACCAACCGAAGAATAATTTTCTGATTGCATGTCTGTAGGCAGTATTCCTTAATCTAATAAAAATGCCATAACAAAACGCAGTTGGGTTTATTTAATACGCGGCAGGTAGGCACCACAATGTTACGAGCTATTTACACATCGAGACTTACCCGATAACACTCGGGAAATTTTGCTTTTGTGGTGGCCTTTTTTAGGGAAACCCTTAATCACGTTAGAAAATCGCTCTTTGACTTCATTATGTTTCTTGTTGCAGATATGGTGCCGGGTACGACTTGGCAGCCAGGCGGAAAAACGCCACTCGAGAATCGACTGCCACCCTCAAGGCGTGGCTCAACGAGCACAAAAAGAACCCCTATCCGACCAAAGGCGAGAAGATCATGCTGGCTATAATCACCAAAATGACTTTGACTCAGGTCGGTTTTCCTCTTCAATTGCCGGCGATCGAGCTAATTTATGCAACTTCTTTCCAGGTATCGACGTGGTTTGCGAACGCGCGAAGAAGGCTGAAAAAGGAGAACAAGATGACCTGGGAACCGAAAAACAAAACGGAAGACGACGACGATGCCTTGGTGTCCGACAGCGACGACAAGGATAAAGATGATGATGATAAACGTGATGACATTGGTGAGTGGCGAATGGTGACAGATTTTAAACTCTCTGGGCTTTTTGTTTAAACATTCGTTATTTGGAGCTGCTCTCGCTGCTAAAAGCTGGAATATTTTCACATGTTGTCAGTCAGTTGAACCAAACAATCATACTACAGCATGCGCAGACACTCACAAAAAGTTGCACCTAGACGAGACAAACGTTCATTAATAATTGCAGGCTGTACAGATAACGCCACAGTCAAGCCTTATTAGTGACACGCTTTACTAAAAACCAAGTGCGCATGTGCATATGTCAATTTAGCGACGGCACTATTAGTGACAGTCAAGTCTGCCACTAATAAGGGCACTCTAGGCACAATTGATTTTTATTTCACATTCGATGAGAAATACCAGTATCCGCGAGTTTTCGCTAAAATATTAATTTAAAACCGGCAAATAATCACTAGATGAGTAGTGACACATTTTATAGGTTACATTAATTAAGTTCCAACAAGGTCTTATTTAGCCGGTTTTCATAACACTGCTAAAGGGCGATAGTGTCTCGAATTGATTTAGTTACAGCCTGAATTAATTATTACTGAACGGGCACTAAACATGTTCTTACGACGTCTATCGTTTCTCATTATTTAAATACGAATTTCCCGTTAAATCAGTTATATCAGTTAAATATTAAATATAGGAATGTTACAAAAATGTAATTGATTCTTTCCACCAAAGAGAAACGATTGGTGATTAAAATTACACAGTGAATCCCACAAAGCAAAAACCCCCGTCTAAATGAGACAAACGATAATTGGACTAGAAGTTGAGAACAAATCGAAGATATTAATTTATTAATTTAGTCCAACGTTTAAATCAACTCCTTATTGCAAATTGCAAAGTCAAGTTTTACAGGGTTTTTCATTCATATTTTTCGTAGTTTTCTTCAACGGGATTGACTACACAGGGTGGGCAAAACTGGCCGTTTTTATCGGTTATATCGGAAAACTCCAACAGTTACCAAAAAAATCGTGTCATGGATCCTATGAGCTCGAGTTTTCAGTAATGGAAAATTTGCGCTTCTAAATTTTTTCTTTGCTAATTTGTTCATGGAGATACGGGGTTAAACTGAACAGTTTCTTCTTCGACATAATTTTTTGGCTTCTTTATTACAGGAAATATTCGAAACATACATTTTTAATCGACTCATTTCCATCGACGAACACCCTGTGTATTTTGAAGCCTGAAAAATTGAGTTTAATTCATGCGGTTTCTTGGTAAATTTGTGGCCAAAAATGACAGTTTGCTAAAATGTCTTCAATTTTCACAGTGCGGTGAATTAAACAAATGCAAACGCGTGGAAATTTGACCATAATTTCTGCATTCATTTAAGATCCGCAACCCTGCCAAAGTGTGGAATTTTTCCGTAATTTTTCGAAAATCCTCGCGTGCTGGATCTCAAATTCACAATAATTACCACAAAACAGTTTTTATGGGCAGAATTCGGCGAAGGAAATTAGGAAACAATAGAGAGCTAAAAGCCTAAAGGTTGTATTGAAGGGCCCCGTTCTCCACGATTTTATAATTGAATGAAACCCCAGCCCTTCTGATATAATTAAGGGTTATACAGTTAGGGGGAGAGATCTTTATTTAAAGCTGTTTAGAGGGTGAAACTCATGCTCATAGACCGGGAGCTTTTCGGATTACACCTTCTTTTCCCTAAGTGGACTCGAACCTGAGTATGTAGCAAAAAACCTGCAGTCTATCAGGGAAAGAACCCATTTTTGGCCTGCTCGTTTGCTCTAGTCGGGAAACAATCAATTTTTGGTGGTTGAGTTTTATAGATGTCTGCAAACTCTCCCAGTCTAACGTGGACTGGCGAGGGATAGAACGGCACATTAACTGCGAATGTGATTACAGAGGGTAAAGGGTGTCAAAATGAAAATGATATTTTATTAAGAGAGAGTGGGCATTGCTTTTTGGGGGGGAAACGATACGAAATTGGGGCTCATTGTCGGTTAGGCTAATTGCGATGGATGGCACCTTATTACTGTGGTGGTTTTGGCCTGTTTGCAGATATCCATGGGAGAATAAAATCGGAGCGGTCCAACAAGGACCTGGAGGACGACGATATGACTGACGAGGATCGAAAAGAGGATATCTTGGGTAACAGTATGCACCATATTCTGGGCAACGGTTACAGTCTAAAAGCGGAAATTAAAAACTCAGACTGTGGCGTTCCGTTGCCTCCGTCCAAGCCCAAGATTTGGAGTCTCGCGGACACCGCTGCGTGCAAGACTCCTCCTCCTCCACCTCCGGCGCAGGGGGGACAGTGGTTGGGGAGTTCGAACGGATTCGCGTTACCGAGCTCTAGGTATGTGTATGGCAGTCCTTAAGCGGTTTATCGGTAGGGGGAGTGGGAGTTAAGAATCTTTTAAAAACCAAAATTCCTTGTGAGTATGCACTGATTGCTCACCGAGTCCACGTGAACTTAACGGCGACAAATTTTGCTTGCAGATACAACTCGAACAGCGGATTCCTGCCCAGCCACTGCCAGCAGGGGTTTCCGGAAGTTCAAACCGACACCCCGCCGCAAACTCCCCCGAACATGAAACTCCCCACTATAACGGGCAATGTGCCAGCTGGTCAAGGGGCCCCTTGCATAGGAGCAGCCTCCAATGGAGGCTACTCTCAAAACTCGACTAGCAGTTTTCTTGGAGGCTTCGGACGGATCCACAGCCCTCAACGTGCTCAACCCGCCAACGGAGCTCAACAGATGAACGCCTCTAGTAATGTTGCGGACAATGCTGCCTTCAAGCCGTTCTATAAAAGGTAAGAATTTGTCCGCGTTGATGATTTTGGGGCCGGATGGGGCACGGGATGGAGTGCTATCAGCTGTTGTGTCCGCTTGATGATGCTCAACCAACCAACATTCTGTTCCGCTTCATGAATGTAAAGAGGGTTTTTTAAATGCTGGACGAATTCCCACGGGTTATCAGTATACAGGGCGATTGAAAATTAGAGAACCGATCCCCGGTGTTTAGAAACTAAAAAGGTGGATTGTTCTAATTCTAACCGGGAATACAACAATCGACTTTAGGGTCCACTGCAGTAGAAGCGTAGTTGTCTTTTATTTATTTCAATAAGGATGTTTCTTCGTCTCTCCTACTTTTTCCATCACATGAGCAGCACTTGTCCCCCAAGTTCAAAATCGCTTTCCATTAAACATTCACTTAATACTCTCTTCATTATTTAGTTCACATTTGTCGCCAATAAAAAAGTTTCACTGGTTTTGGGGTACGGGATGGAGTGGTAACAGCAGCTGTGTTGGCTTAATAGTCTTCAACTCAAAAAAAGTCGCTTGGTTTGAAGGAAAATAAGGAGGGTTTTTTAAGTGCTGGTTCAATTTTTACGGCTTCTCATTATACAGGGCGTTTTAAAACTGCGGATCTGCCTCTCCGTCTCTATGGCCAAATCGATAGTTTTAGGTCGATTTTTGTGAAAGTTGGACAATTAAACAGCGCATACACAAAGCGAGTTAATCGTTAACTCTAGTACGGGCGCAAATGTTCCTTTTTTCTTTTAATAATAGCGTTATTTCGTTGTTTACGCTGCCCTGCAAGAACCGTTACTTTCCTTCTGGTTCCTACCGGACCTTATTTCTTTAATTTAATACTACTTATTGACGATTTCTCGAGAAGATTCTTACAGGGTTCTGTTGAACATGTTTTGTCGTGCGTTCTTAACCGATTTTTTCTTTCTTTTCAGCGCGCAGAATCTAAACGGAGGATTTGTGTCTCCGGTTTGAGGCTGCTGGACTTTGAAAAGTAAGTAATTTGTCCTAAAATCATCCCGAATAGTTAAACTTATCAGCCTCGTTAACAGCGAGGCGAGCGTTTCTGTGGTTGTTCATTCATTAATCGTTAAAAACGGTTAGCTTAACTAATGCCTCTCTTCCACTGCTCCACCCACCGTATTGTTCTTCAGCCGCAATGAATGAAAACCCAATCGCCACCTTCAAGACATTGACAAATGGAACAAGATCTCGATCAGCTGAAAGCTCCGGCTTTATATCCTGTTTGGTGTTCGTCTTTCTCTTGCCTACCTTTTCCACTTTCTATGTCTTTCTTTTTCGATTTGGATAATAGAGAGGATTGATTGTTCGTGCATGGACAGGCAAACGAGGCGGCACAGCAATTATTTGTTCACTCAATGGGATTTTTTGGTTCAATTGTGAAGAATTTTTGTTTGCTTTCGATATTCGTCCCATCCGCATGTCAATTTTGGTGTCTTCTCACTCTGCAAGATTTCAGTTTTCAATCAAGTTTTCTTCAGGTCGTGAATCAGCTTTAAGAAACGCTTCAGAGCGGAGCAACGGTAGAGTCGTATGAGAGCGATTGATTTCAAATAATGCCCAGTCGCCTAACAAAACAAATTGCCGATGGAAGATTAGAGGAAAACAATTTAAAATTCTTCGACTTTATCTCCATTGTAAAGGTGTTTCTTAAGAATGTATTATGTCATAGTCAGATTGGTTTCCTTTTAGATGCTGGTCGCGATATGTAGAGGGAATTAATAAGGTTGCCTTGGGAAAGAACCTATTTGAGGCTTAACTACTGGGAATAGTGAAATCTTAATTGAATATTAATTGAAAGCAAACAACAATGAATGTTCGATGTAGATTTTGTTTGTTTCAGGATGATCAACTATAAGGGGCATGTGCAAGGAACAAACCAGTCTTAAGGATCGTTGGATACAGAACGGCTCTGTATATATTTACATAAATATATAATAAAGTGTACATTTGTATAATTGCATTTTAGTAATTTATCTGTGATACTGAACAAAACCAATACGACGGTGGCAATGGGAACTATTTTCCTCTAAAGGAAAATTGTATTTTCTTCTACATATACGATTATTAGTCAAGTTTGGCATGGAACAGAGTTTCACATTTGGATCATTTTTAGCTCGAATAAAAACGATTCTGTTCCATGTTCGACTGAAATTGCACAGAGAACTATATGATAAGACGACCAGTTAATCGTTTTTTACATGTTTCCAATATTTTTGCAACATAATAGGCACGAGTAATTCGAATCACTGTTCAGGCCAGAGTTCCTATTTTGGACAAGTTGCTCTTAAGGCTGTAGTTTTGCATGTTACAGAAAGTGGACGCGAGCGATCTCTTCTCGCCAAACTCAACCATCTTATATTTACTTGAAAACCTGTCATCGCGTCCAATTTTATACGTAATCATTGTTAATTTTGTGTCTTTTAGCCAATTGTTATTTGAGAACGTTTACCATATCACTGAACAAACTGCAAGATTTTTAATATTATTATATTATTATTATTATAATTATTATGAAGTCTAACTAATTATATATTTTGTTGGCTCTTCTTTAAGCCCGATTTTTATTTATGTATATACGTTTCTCTGTTTGTTGTATATATTTAGATGTAAAATATTATATATTGTCTTTATTGAAATAAATAATTAACAGACTTTGACGACTAGTGTTTTACTTTTCTACTGCACACGCAACATACATTTCCTTCATCGAGCTTATGAAATGATCGCGTAAGTTTATTTTGTGAATAAGTACATTTTTATTGAAAKAATTTTGGTGTTAAGATTGTTAGGTAAAAATGAAGCGATYTAAATATATTCCAGGGAAAACTTCATGGATATGGTGCAGAAACAAGGAGCAGGGGTCTTCTTGCTCTTTCTTAAGTGTTTGATTAATGGTTACTAAATTTTCTCTTTCATCTGTCTGTCAACTGATTCAATTTTTCCAAATTTCTTAGATAAATTACAACAATTTTTTTATCACCCTATAAACCGTAGGAGGAACCGTGAAAACAAAATAGTCGTTGACTAATTATTGTAGAAACATGTCTTTGATCTCTCTGTTAAACGCTCGTAAGTCCAGTGCTTATTTCTATAAATCCGTCACCTTCATTGATTTGTTAATAATTAATTTATAATTTATAATTAGCTTAATAGATTAAGCATTACAAAGGCAAAGATGCAAATTGTCTTAAACCGTTTTACAAATTTACAAGATTTGAAGGTGCAAAAACTTGGGGTCCACCGTGTCAATAATCATCTTTTACTCCTTAGGACCAATTAGATGTTTAGAATATTATTATTTTATTAAATACTTCCATGCTACCATTAACATCATCATCATCATCGTTAATACAACATTAATCTTTAAGGAATATTGGCAAACCAAGAGATTAATGAGATTTTATACACAAATCACCTGTAGATCGATTCCAATTGATCAATTCGTTTGTGTTCAAAAGATAGTGAATATTGAGTTAACTTCGGGTTTGCCCCCGCTCAAACTGAGCCAAAGTTTCCGTTCAAACTAAGAGGATCCATTTGGCCAAAACTCAAAAATCTGCACAAATACCCCAGAAGCTTCCAATTTTTCGTTCCAAATAAATATGCAAGTGAAACAAGGCCATTTTACTAGTCAACTAATATTGAAGGATCTGCCGTAAAAACATGGAAATCGGTTTCAAGCCAACAAACAATCTAAGCTTTTAAAAGAAAAAAGCCTCCAATATCGGTGGTTTCCTGAACTTTACAAGAAAAATTAGGCTTTTGATCCATTGTAGGAAGTTGTTTGGTGCTTTTTCTTCTAGTAGATTTTATTTAGTAAAAAGCAACTTTTGAATCGACTTTCTCTCAAGAATGTAATTAAAAAATTGCCAAAACTGTAATTAGACTAGAAAAGCCATCCACTAAAGATATGAAAGAAACAAGTGAGAATTAACACCTTAATATTAAAATAGTAATGGGAATAATCGAGAATTCGTAAAGCAGATGCGATTATTCAAGACACAAACTGCAAAAAATGTGCAAAATAAGCGCCGTTTAAATGTGAACGGCACTCAACTTGGTCGGTTTTCCTATAAATTATCAAACATATTGAGTGAAATTTTGGAATTATTGTCATAGTGTGGATCGATTCATTTGCTCTTGTGTTCTATTCAAGACGGAATTGATGTTGAATTCTGACCGAACTTTGCACGGAAACTTCGGATTTTGGTCGATTGAAGAAAGTTGCTTGTGCTTCCTTCCTAGTAGGTTTCTTTCAAACTCAGAAACGATTTTCTTTTCTAGATGAATCTAGTTACACAATTGGGTTAAATTTGCAAAACGACCCAGGAAACTGAGCATGTTTCTTATACAAAATAAGTGAAAGAAAATAATCATCAAAACTAAGCTAGTAAAAACGAAACAAGCTACTGAAAAATCTGAATGATTAGCGCAGTTCAAAACCATTATGAGACATTATTTACAAAATTTTGCTTTTGTGCAAGTCATCGTTTTCCCTCACCGTTCCAATTAAAAGTTGTTCTTGGTTTTCCACTTACTTTCCTCCTTCCAAGACTTTGGGATCGATTTTCCCAAAAAAACTCGAGTTGATAAATTGGTTAAATCTACAAGAGAACAAAGCTTCCACTAGTCTGGAAGAAATTGTGCGAGTAGAACAGAGAGAAATAACAATGAGAAAACTATCAAAAATTCTCTAAACCAGACACGATTTTTTAAAGATATGAACTGCAATAATGATGTTATAAAAGGAAGCCAACAAGGTTGAAAATTTGCAAGACAAGCGCAGGTTAAGTGTGACTTAAGAAAAAATTCAATGAGAATCGCCGATTTTTTTGTGTGATTCAGCAACAAATCTGAGCAAAAGTAGGTTGTAGAGAGAAGTGACGAGAAGACCAAAGCTTTTTTGGTAACGAATTAAAATCTATGGAATTTACAATAAAATTCTCGCAAAGTTTACGCTTTAGCAACAATAAGTAAAAATAACAAATTAATATTTAAATAATGATTAGAAATCTGAGTACGAGTTTTCAAATCACAATAAAATTAAGTGCAGTGCCTAATGAAAAAGGCCTTAAATACGTGAATAACGACGAGAAATCTGAGTCTTCAAATAGCCCAACGGTTTAAATACATTTCGTGCTGTTGTGAAGAGTGTTTTAGATGAAATAAAGGAACTTGGAATAACTTGCAAGGACATACAAAAAAGTGAACTATAACCACTGATTTAAAGTGAGTTCTGGAAGAAATAATCAGTATAAATGGAAATAATTTTCCGATAAATGACGGACAAAGTTTACAGGATAAATTCGAATGGATAAGCACGAAGTCGGAAATAGGTGAAAACCCGAAAACTTCTTTCCTTAGTCGGAAATTGTAGGTTGTAGGTTTAATTTCAGCATTCATTTCATTTTGATAGAACAATCTACGAAGATTTTTGTGGGTTTAAAAGTGTTTTCTAATAAATCTAACCGAAAGCCGGTACCACTGAGTAATTAATTATCCCGGCGTTTTTTTTCCACGACTACCCGCTGAGTACCATAGGAAGGAAGTGGTTCCCTACTGGTAGCCCATACTGACTTTCGAAATGAGCCATAAAACACAGAAAATGTCAATGTAAATATGGGGGAATAAATTTCGAAAGAAAGAGAAACACACTGGGCGTCGTTGAACAAATGTTCCTCGTTTGACGATTATATTATTGGATTAAGGATATGGGTTCGAATTTATGTTGAATGTAAACAGGTGATCATATAAAACATCTATAATAACCAGCTGAAAGTTCAGAATTTACATGGGATATATGGTAGAGTCGGGATCTACAGGTGGTGTCAAATAATAAATGGTTCAGTTACGAAGGAATGTTCGAAACGTTCTCTCATTTTCGCTCGGTAATTTTAACGATGATTGGACAGCGAAACTGACCGGCATCGAGAGCATAAAATCCCGGGGACAGTGAAAAGGGGGTCTCGAAAAGCCGATTTCATTAGCCTTTCAATGGAAGATTTAGTTTTCGGCTACCGGTCTTCAAATTTCTAGCATCGACCGGTTACGGCCATTAGCGTAATTGGATTTTATGGTCTGGTTCATTTGCTCGACTTCGTTTATTTTGAGCACAACCGGAGGAATGCCTGATCCTAAATCATTAAATACCAATACGACCAGATAACGACGGAAACACTCTCCAATCAGATAGCGCAGAGCGAATTCAGGCTAGAAATAAAATAAATTTTCCCGCGGCATGATATCCAACCACACAAAACCATATTAAAAGCCTAAAATGGCCTTAACACTAAATTTTACAAAAGATAGACGAAGATACACGAGCAGATAAGAGTGAAAAACGTTATAGTTACTCAAACAATGAGGTAGTCGCGCTGAAGATGTCATAAATTACCCCCATGGGGTCGAGGCTGCCCTCTCGACCCCCCTCGGACTATATGGCGCGACGTATTATCGTGTAGAAGCATTCTACAGGGTGTTATGCTAAATAACATTATGCACATTTCAGATTTTCATATCGTAGAACCGTGATAATGTCTTTAGCTCACATCTACATCGATTACTTTTGAACTATCGTCCATTCATTTGCTCAATATCAACAGCTAAACCTAGGAAAATGAGCATTTTTCATAATTCTGTGCAACGATTTTCATTTTTAAAACTAGTGTTTCATTGGAAATTCGGTCTAACGTTTTGAAAATATACGTGGCTAACATCTTCAGTGGATGTGTGAGTTTACTCAAACAATACTGTGGTCTTTGTCCTTTTACTCAACGGTAAAACTGAATAAAACGGCTAAAAAACACGAGATAATTGCACCAAACCAAGGAACTAGGCATGGGTAACACAGTTGTTGCCACTCTCTGAGTTAATGAGTTATAACTCATTTATCAAAGCGGATTAAAGCATTACGACCCGAAACGGGAGTTTTATCATCTTAAAAAAGTCATCA